ATTGACTTAATGCCGACAGAAAGATAGATATATATATATAAACAATGACACCGATCATGCATAGACACACTCCGCAATTGATACCGTCTGTTAGCCAATTCTCTGATGATCTTTGATTGTCCAAAAAATTAAGGCAACAAAAAAGAAATGAAAAGAAACTTTTTATTTTATTTTGTTTTGTTTTATTTAAAAATTTTATGCAATATTATTTTCAATTTAAAGTATTAAAGAATATTTCAAGAAGCATACAAACATTTTAACACTTATAATTATCATAATATGTGATGACTAGTGACCATTAAAGAGATAGCGGCATGAGCGATAAACGGTCTATGTAATGTTGAATGATGAATATAGAAATCATCACATCCTGCTGTTTATTGATTGATTTTTCTAAGAGGTTAACATGTTGGTAGATTCATCTCTCCAGTTATAATATATATTTTAAGTCATACATGATTGTGAAACGGAAGAGATTAGCTTGGAGACTGACGATGTCTCGTGCTATCGTGGAAAAGTATATATGATTAAAAAATCAGTGTTAGTATTCGCGTGTTGCATCGTCATTACGTATTCATTGTCAATCATTTTTGGTGAGATACGATAGACAGTTAAGTGACAAGTTTTACCTAATCATTCATTGTTACTCTCTATGGAAAAATGAAATGTGTCAAATACACGAATACATATGTACATATATAAATTAAAAGTTAATTGAAACAAGACAACTCTTCGAGCTTAAACTCTAATTACATAAGATTTTTAATTTCAGATACTTCAATTTTTTCTTATGATGAACATCGACCAATGATTGAAGTCGTTTGATGAATCTAATAGTCATTTAACTTGAAAATATATTTCTAACTCTGAACTATTTTCTATATTGATTTATATATATTTATGTATTCTATATAGGTCAATATGCTAGCGACGAAACATATATATATATTTGCTGAGTAAATCATCATATCAATATCTATAGAAGATAAGAGTTTGTAGAAAACGAAGAAATATCAATAAGATTGATATATGTAAAAAATGAATAATATGCCTATATTTTGATATGATAACTATTGCTCGGTGAACGAGATTTGATTTTATTATGAATGAATCACAACTATCCCGAGCTTTTTTATATAACAATATAAATTGGTTCATCAGATAAAAATCAAACATACAATTCTCTACAAGCAAAACACAGTATTGAATCTAGTTTTTTTTATGAGATGGAAGGGGAAGGGGGGGGGGGCGTCAGCATCATACAATGTGTTTTGAAACTCATCAGAGGTAGTATCAGCTCCTTTTCTACTAGCGATCGCCCTCGAAATCCGCCACTGGTAAAACAAATGTTCTTTAGATCACATAATTTCAAAAATTACTGTTCTTTTTTTCCTAAATAAATTATATCAGAGTAAAACAAGACATCAATTAATCTGGAATATTTTATTTTTGATTTATTCAGTTGAAATATTGTCCATAAAAAAATGTGTTCTATTGGTCAATCACATGAGATTTACAATATGTACATAGAAGCGGTAATCACTTTCATGAGAAAAGTTGTCAATGTAAAGGTGTTGAAATTATTTCTTTGGTTCAACTATTTTAAGAAGATATTGGATTGTCTTTAATGTTCACAAAAAAATTATCTATTCAATATCTTCATAAAAAGTTTTCATTTGACAAGTTATTTAAAAAACAATAGATGTAATCATTCTTCACCTTGCATTATTGTTTCTGGTTAGATTTAAAAATATTCAAGTTGCTTTTGTTAAAGAGAAACAACTATGATATAAGTATGAGTACAAAAATAGAACGATTTTGTGTTATTGGTAAAATATCTCAGAAAGATTATCAATTTTGATATACAAATGTTATAAGCTAGTACCAATAATGATCTCTATCTTTCAAATTATCAATTTCACTTTCTTATCAATAAAGGATTTGTATCTTTGTGTTTTGTCAAATGAGCATATTGTGATGTGCAGAAAATTTTATATGATGTTATTAGTCTACTCACATTCTTACCGAATATACTATAATAAAATAGATCAATGTAGATTATATATATCATTTGAAATATCGTTCCCATTGTAAGAAAGCATTTCAAACTTTCTCGTTTTATTTCGAATAGTTTTCAATTTTTAAAAGAACATTTTATTTAATAAGTACATAAAAAAACAATCATTTCTGATGATGCTTAAAATTTGAGAATAACTTGATTGTTTACATTCGATTTTGCAGTAATGTTATCATTTAGTTCGACTTCAGTCTATTGATTCTTATATGTTCCATAAATAGCTTTGTAGGGGTGTAGAATATGACTGACGTTTTTGTACAAATGATGTTTCAATAATTAATGTCAAATTATTCATCAAATAATGCCAGATATTTGAATTGAATTGCATAATATTGCTAAAATGTTTCTGGACAAATTAAGTGTTAATAATTTACAATAAAGTGAAACATTCACTTCAATATTCTATGTTTTGTTAAATAATAAAAGATATGTATGAATTGGTGCTATTGGAAATTATATGAATAAAACCACGGAAAAATACTGCAACGAATAGAACTGATGATAAGAAAAAAGATAACATTCTACTGTTAAATTTGGTAAAATGTATTGTTTATTATATAAATGTCGGAGGTGACTTTAAAATGTAAAGTAGTAAATGTTAATTTGTGTGATAAATATCATGTTTATTGAATAGATAATGTTGAGAAAGAGGAATGAACATTGAACAAAGACCTAACAATAACGGCTAAGAAAATCAAAAACAATGTAAAGGAAAAATAGGGTGTGGATGCGTATAAGTCGATCTTGGTGTGGGTATGGTTATGTAATGAATCTCAAGTCTCGATTCCGAATGATCAATTTACATTTAGGAAAAGTTGTTAAATCGAGAAATAAGTTCTGAAAAATGTAAACTTGAAATATATTTAAATTTCTTTAACGTGGAAATTTAAACTTATTTTAAATTTAAATTTGTAAGAAATGAATTTTTAAAATGAATTAAAAGGAAAATGTCACCCGTAGTCCCAAACCCATCTTCACACCCCGCATCTACACTCATCTACACATCCATCAACTTTATCTATTCAATGAGCATTTATATAAATCTCACACGTTGACATTGGCTATTTAGATTGCTCATTGAATATATGTATATGGAGGCACACTTGCCAGATTGTAGGTATATTTGTAACAATCGATAGATATCACATATATGGAGAGCATATGCATCGCATTTCTATTTACAGTTTTAACCTATATATAGTTTTCTTCACAGGCAAACGTCATTCTTAACTTCAATCACCATAGATTTTTTCGACACTTTCTATTACTATAGCATTTGTTCTCTAGTTTTTCGAACAGAACGAAAGGAAAGTTGCTTCGAAATAAATACTACAATAATCATTTTTTGTATGCAGATCATTGAATTTGCATAAAACTCTTTACCAATTATGTTCGTTTTGGCTCGATAATGAGCTCACTGTACATAAAGAGATAAAACATATATTAATTTGTTTTAAATAAATGATGTATATCATCGATCTATTGTTGTTTACGCCACGGTATCTAACAAGGATGTATCATTCAAATTTTGATCACTTAGAAAGAACTGATAAAAAATTGATATTCATAATTTGTTTCATTTTGATATAAGTAAATGATATAAATATGAAAGATAATAGTTCTCAACGACAAATTAATCTTTATTTGCGTATTAGTCTTCTTTGTTTATATTTCACTCTTCGATCTTTAGATAACTATAAATACTTATCTCAAACTTGTTAATATCATGTTCTTTCTCTCTCTAACCAGGAAAGATCCACAAATGATCCATGCAAATTTTAATAATATGTTGTCCATATGCTAGGGATATTATTCTAAGAGAAATCCTAAGAGAATTTGTTCTGACAGATCTTCCTTCGACGAGTATGGCCATTTCATTAATTTTTCCGCTTAACACAAGCTATATACAGAAAAAAGACGAGCAACAAAGTTTCAATCAGCAATTTGTCTCATAGTTCGTTCTCGCGGTCACTAATACGCTCTACATTTTTCAGTGGAAAAATATCTTTTCTTTTGTAGATATCAAATCTTCTAAACTTGTCTCAAGTCTATAGAATTCAGAAAGGTTGATTTTATTAACCACTCAACATTATGAGAAGAAAACGTTTCGTTTTCCAACAAAACATTTAGAATCTTCCAGTGATTACAAGAACGCCATATCAGAAAAAATTCGGGTTGAAATTCTGTTGCTCGATTTTTCTGTATATACATTGTGCTAGCTAGAAATATCAGTATAATCACGATAATCTTCGAAGGAAGCCCATTCAGTTCGATTCCTCTTAAAATTTTTCTTAGAATAATTTCTCTAGCATATGAACAAAATATCAAAGAAAAACGGTATAGATCACTTGGGGACCTTTCCCCTTTACTGCATTTTTTTCTATCTATACCTTTCCATTGTTACATAAATAAAGAAGAATGACAAAATAGATACAAATGGCGGTAAACAGTATTATTTCTCACAGTAACTGTTGAAATGAGTATTTCACTGTTCAACAAATGGATAGCAAACTGACAAGAAATTCGCTTCATTAAATACATTTCTAGATCCAATCTCATTTAATCTTGAACATGAATTATTAACGGTTTTGCATTTACCTATTTGATAAGGTGTTAGATTATAGATAACCAAATGAAGTAAGCGAATCATCTTTTGATTTCGCTCACGTCAATTACACTCGATACATTATGAAGAAAATCTACCCGTGATTATTAGCCTATTTGTTAATTAAAATTATATGTCAAATAGAATTTCTGAATAGACTTGAAAATAGATCAATTTCAATGGTAAAATAAATGGAATAACACACACAAAAAAGATAGAAAATAGTTAAGGAATTTTGAATGATGTAGTTGACCCGATGACTTAATCGATAAAAAAACGATGACAAAAAAAAACTTATTAAAAGCAAACAAGTGTTTTTTATTGTGTACCAACATTAAGTCTGTTGTATTTTTTGAGTATTTTGACGACATTATCATGTGAAATAGCATCAACTCGTACTCCTCCAAATCCTACCATTGTTTCAGCTGCTATTAGAGAATTTATTATGGCTTCTTCAACACATTGAATAGTTGCATCAAACAATGGATTAATTTGATCATTTGATAGAAATTCAGCAACTTTTATTGTTGAACTTTTGTTCGAAATATTAGCTGTTGAAAATGCCAAGAAAATGTCACCCGATGAATCACCACCAATGCCTCCTAATTTTCCTATTCCAAGAGAAGCTCTCTTTGCTAATCGTTTCAATTGATGCGGTAATAGTGGAGCATCAGTAGCTATTACGACAATAATCGAGCCAACATCTTTATCTGGCATAGAACTAGCATTTGCTTCTATGTTGAGAAGTTCTTGTCCTACTGGAACACCTGCAATAATGAGCTGATGTTTGCGTCCAAAATTAGCTTGTAATAAAACTCCAACAGTATAATTAAGACCATTAACTATTCTTGAACTCGTTCCTGTTCCAGCTTTATAACCGAAAGAAACCATACCAGTTCCACCACCTACATTACCTTCTTGAATAAATGATCCAGATTCTTTCGCATTATTTAATGCTTCGAAGACATGTTCTTCTTTAATATGAAATTCACGAAAATTATTCAAATATCCATCCCATGTTTCAGCTACAACAGGTAATCCAAAGTTTCCAATATTGGCCACCGATATTTCCTGTTCTTGCAAAATCCACTTTGAAGTAGAATCATAACAGATACCAACACTATTCGAACTAGTAATTAGAACTGGACTTGCAAGAAAACCCGATTCTGTCAAAAAATGTATTCCAGTCATTTCACCGTTTCCATTCAAACTAAACCAATTTGCAAAACATTGTTGTTCATTACTAGATTTATTAGCACCACGCGGAAATATGGCTGTAACACCTGTACGAATAGAATCGCCTTCGATAATTGTACTAAATCCTACTTGAACCCCATCGACATCTGTTATGGCATTATATTTTCCAGGTGTACCATCAAATGGAATGGCGAGATCTCTAGCTCGTAACTTTCTTGAACCTTTCACAAAACATTAATCGTATATAGTAATTGCATTAAATTAGATGACTTCTTTTGCAAAACTTACCTGTCTGATTCATTTTTGCATTAGAACAATACAAAATACTGATAAGTAATAAAACGCGTAGTGTCTAACAGAGGCGTTCTTTATTCATTCTTTTCGTTCTTTTTATTACCAATGAAATGAAACGGAAAGAAAAGACACTGCGATAAGAAAAAGAATCAAAGGATGCGAGTAAACCAAACTAGGCGTCGATAAGAACGAAATTGATGAAGGTATATGAAGTTTATGCCCTTAAAAAACCTCGTCACCAACAGAAATGTTGGTCCGCACACATTTGAAGACATGAAAGAAAGAAAAACAGTAAAAGAAAAAAGATTTAAGGAATGCTGATATGAAGAGAGACACAAGAGAAATGTGGAACGACAAACGGAATTGAGTATCTCGTCGCCACTCTTGGTGATGGTGTTTGTATTACGTAATGCACATCTCCAGAATGTAACTACTTCATACACAACACACGTTTATACAGGAGAGAGAATAGAAAGAGAGTGATGAACGTAGAGAAGAACAATAGAGACAGACATGGAGGAAAAGAGGATCAGAGGGGTATTATATCCATATCGGCACACCTTCTCACTTAGATTGGATGCGCTCCTGAGCGTCGGAACAAGGAGGAAGCAAAAAAGAAAAAGAAACAAAAGCATAACATGAGCCCGGGTTGAATGTCACTAACTTCGTATACGATCGTTTATGGTCGTACGGGAAAATAGTGTCAATTGTCTTGAAGTTTCATGAAGTCATTTAAAGTCTTTTAACAGTCTGAAGTGTTGTTGCTTGAAGTTTATTGGAGTTTACTTCTTTCTCCTTGATACAGCTTTAGTACTAACTGCTTACGTATATAATGTCGAATTTCTACGACATCTGTATATTGATATAAGGCACGGATCAAAGAAACATAAATCGCCAAATAGGCAGAGGAATTAAGTAGATTTATGAGAAGGAATATTTACGTTTATTCTGAAGATATTTTTGTGTCTTCTTTAATTACTCTAATGGTACTTACTTGCCTTCTCTACAAATCTCAAAAATTGAATATACAGCGACCGTATACGACCGCACACGTCGATATACAGTCGTATACGACAGTCGCATAACTCCGTATATGGAGCAGATAACGTTTGCCCGGGTCGAACAGACAGGGTCGTATACGGAGAAATACGACGATTTACATGGTCCAGTATTACGATCATATATCACCGTTTTTCTCCGTAAACAATCGTTTACGAGCGTGGATGCTCGACGTGGATAGTTGAGCTTCCGATGTCGTTAACGAATAAACCATTGCTAATTTCATGTGTAGCATAGCAGGAATAGAACTTGTGTTAATATGATGAGTTGTTTGCAGTAGAATAGAAGCACTTCCATGCCATTTTTCTCACGAATGGCTCGGCTGTTCGGTCGCTGGGTCGTTCTCGCAGCTGTTGTACGTAAAATTTTCAATTTGTTTTCTTTATCTAATTCGTTGTGACTTAAAAATTCCTGTCAACACTTGCCGACCAGAGGCTGCCGCCGTCCAAACTGTTGAACAGATTCATCATCTTATTGAGTGGCTTGATACTTGCTATTTGATACACCTGTATAGCAGTTGATTGATCGTCCTGTTGTTATTGACTTAGTGGCTCATTTTCATAATGTTCTTACTGTTGATTAAGAATCGACTTCACAAAGATTTGCTAAGATTCACTAGTCAGGGTCGTCATATAGCTACAAATTGGATTGAGTAGTTTGCCGCCATTAGCGGCAATGCTATTTATTACCTATTTCACATCTCCAGAATGAAACTACATATACAACACATACTTATATAGGAGGGAGAATAGAAAGAGAGATTAATGAACGTAGAGAAGAACAATGGAGAGAGAGGGAAAGAAGGTCAGAGGAAGATTAGATCAATATCGGCACAAAAGAGAGCAGTTGAGTAGAATGAAGAGCAGAAATCGATAGTGTAACAACACGATGACGGTAAGAAAGAATACGATGTACACAGATAATGATGTAAACATGCATTAGAATTTTAAGAGGTTGTAAAGGAAGTCCAGGAGCAATATGCTGAAACAAAGCAGGAGGCCATAGATGATGACATAGTGGTGACGAGAAATGATGTAATCCGTGCAGTTGAGAGGTATGTTCCATAGTATCAAGATATTGTAGTGCAGTCATAAGAGTGTTCACCAGTGAGTACATTTCTGCCAATCCGGATATTTATATGACTTCAAGAGTAGAATTTTGTCAACGACGTAAATACAGTCGTATTTGGCGACGTAAAAAAATTGTGACGACCATTAATAAAGTATGGAAGGTTTCCGAAACGTCGATGCGATTATGTACCTCGATATTTAGGAATCGTTTGACTGAATGCTCATTGATATCGAGAATGTAAGAGAGCAGGAAATTGAGGATGATAGATGTGAATGAGTATATTAATCAACCTAGGATTGAGCAATGATTTTGAAAGAACAATATGTGCAGAGATGATGTTGTGTTTCGCGGTATTTGTCAGATGTGATATTTATATATATAGGTATAATTTGTGACAATGTTGTGGATTTTTTGGAAGAGATACGATTGAATGTTGCAAATCGAAAGACAATACAGACGAATGTGCATAGTACATAAGTTCAAACGAAACTGTTTTTGTGGTTGAATGAAAAGTGGTGTTATAGTTGAAGGTGACAAATGGTCCATGATCGGCCAAAATTCTATTCACAACCATTGGATAATACAGCGATTTTTGCATCTATAGTTCCATTAGAACACTTGATCTAATCACTAGTTTGAGGATGACATGCCGTAGAATAAAGATAAGTGACGTGAAGACATTGAAGTAGTTATTTCATCATAGTTGATGTAAAATGAGTACCATTGTCTGGAAGGATACATATCGGTGTTTCATATTTACAGGTGACCTCTTCTTGAAGAAACTTTGCAGCCATATCAATCGTACAATCACGAACGGCTTTGGTAATAACGAATTTTGATAGAACGTCTGTTGAAGAAAAAAAGTGCTTGTTACCACATCTACCAGTAGGAGAAATAGTTCCATGAAAGTTCATTGACAGTAGTTGCCAAATCCCTTTAGGTGATTTGATGGACTTCAAATGACTGGTGGACCAGCAATCAATACATGACTTAATGTAATTAGTGATATTGCAGTTCATCTTATTCCAGCAATATCGAGCATTGACTTTCTTGATACTTTTGTCACTCTCAAAATATGCACCGTTGCGTGGGGAATCGTGTTAGATTCTCATAATGTCACGACGAATTTTAATTTTCGGTATGCATGAAATCAGTTTTGTGTGAGTCTCGTGGTGCATGCAGAGACCATCTTTCACAAAACAGGAGTCAGTATACTTATGATTGGTGAGGTTGTCCACAATGCACTGTATATCAACATTTCTTTGTTGCATTTCTTTCAATTCGTTGAGTTTACCAATATATTTAATTTCGTGAATCATCAATCAGTGCTGAAGTAGTGAAGCTATCAATATTTGACAACAACCGTGTGTCAGAACGAGCGGTTACTATGTCGACAACCAATGACACAAGCAGAAAATAATCAGAAGATAAATCAGTTTGAACAGCAGTAGGAATTAAATTTGCACTAACTTCATTGTCAGAATCGTCGTTGGCTTCGCCAATTGGTCATTGAGATAAGCATTGTCTGGCAATACTGCTTGATGTGTCTTTTATATGTTTGATCATGAAATCATACAATTGTAATTTTAAACACCAATGCTCGCATTTAACCTTCACTTGAGTTTTTCGTATTAATGCTTCTGATGATTTATAATCAGACGGTGGGTCTGTGTTGCTGTCCACATCGTTGCGATTATGAGCATCGGTTCATAGAATGTTCACCTTCAAACCCCCCAAAAAATCAGGAAATCACGTTCACTGCAACGCATGTTCTTTATTATTATGATTGAGTTACAAAATATTATGGTGTACAGCTATTTCACTGTCGTCATCTCTCTAGTGTGAAAGTAAAGACTCGTTAAAAAACATACCGTCGTGCGTTTTTCTTTTGACTATACATTTTTCTTTTGTCCGAGCAAAAGAGAATGATAAAAGGAATACAAATGACGGTAAACAGTATTATTTCTCACAGTAACTGTTGAAATAAGTATTTCACTGTTCAACAAATGGATAGCAAACTGACAAGAAATTCGCTTCATTAAATACATTTCTACATCCAATCTCATTTAATCTTGAATATGATTTATTAACGGTTTTGCATTTACCTATTTGATAAGGTGTTAGATTATAGATAAGCAAATCAAGTAAGCGAATCATCTTTTGATTTTGCTCACATCAATTACACTCGATACATTATGGAGAAAATCTACCCGTGATTATTAGCCTATCGGTTAATTAAAGTTATATGTCAAATAGAATTTCTGAATAGACTTGAAAATAGATCAATTTCAATGGCAAAATAAATGGAATAATACACACAAAAAAGATAGAAAATAGTTAAGGAATTTTGAATGATGTAGTTGACCTGATGACTTAATCGATAAAAAAGCGATGACAAAAACAAAGCTTATTAAAAGCAAACAAGTGTTTTTTATTGTGTACCAACATTAAGTCTATTGTATTTTTTGAGTATTTTGACGACATTATCATGTGAAATAGCATCAACTCGTACTCCTCCAAATCCTACCATTGTTTCAGCTGCTATTAGAGAATTTATTATGGCTTCTTCAACACATTGAATAGTTGCATCAAACAATGGATTAATTTGATCATTTGATAGAAATTCAGNGTGCATTTTGAGACCTTTTTCAGGCGATGTTTTGTTAGAAAGCTACGATTTGGTTCAAAACTAATATCAGATTCGGAATCAGCGTTAAAAACTGAGTCGATTTATATATGTTGTGAATAATTCTGAGAAAAACATTTTTTTTGAAAAAATCCCTGTACCCCTCCTCAGGGATGGTTTGGTCAAAAATGACAATTCTTTCGATAACTCAGCCATTTCTTGACGGATCCTTCTCATCTTCGAACTCGACCGATATATTGATGAGACAATTCTGTGCACAAAATTTCAGCTCAATCGGATGTAATTGTGCAGAGTTATTGTGCACACGGACGGACGGTCGGACACACTGACCGACTCTAGAGTGTAATCACTTTTTGAGTACACAAAAAACCTTCATTTCGCTAAGACATGAAAATCTGAAGACGCCAGTAAAAATCACTGATGAATTTTCAATTAAAAGCTATAGTAGTAAAGTTTGCATTAACCCGCGAGTTAGCGCGCGGCCCGAAAAAAAATCATTCAACACGTCCAACGGGCCAGGTTCAGTCTAGAACAGGTCGGGTCAAAAAAATCAATCATCAACATCTATGTTCTTGATGTTTCATTCATTCTGACAGACAATATTGTTTATCTCATATATACCATTTACAGATAGTGACTGTTTATTATTCATCTATTGTAGCAAAGAAACATTGTTTTTTTTCACATGGATGGATAGAAAGAGCATTCTTTCGTTTTCAATATGTATTCTAATAGAGGCATACTTTTTTCACTTGTTGAACTTAGAGTTGTTATTCTTTTATTTATTTTTTGTTCATCTTAATGGACTAAAATATCTCGTTTCTTCTTAGTCAATTGATAATATACATTTCTTTTGTTTCATCTTGCCTACCACTAATATAGGTGATGTTTTTATTTTATTTGATTGAGTCAGATATAGTCTTTCTACAGTTTTCGTCTATCTCAATACAAATTTTGTTGTCATAATTATTCAATCAAGGATAATCATCAATTATTCCCTTATTCCTCAATAGAGAAATCCTTTTGTTTTCGTAAAGATAACATGTACATATTAGTCTTCTTTTTTGTTTTTTCTTTCTAGTGTGATGACAATATCCATTAATTGATCTCATCGTCAAGGTACATTAGCAGGTATGTGAGTGTTGATGTGTTGCTGATTGACAGAAGAATATATTTCATTTCTTCCTAAGAAAAAGCGAAATGTTTTCTTTTCGAATAGATATGAGACTAACAGTAATTCTTTAATTTTCATCTATCATAGTGAAAAAAACAACAATTCATTTTATTCGTACTACTAAATCAGAGATCGTAATTATGTCTTTTTCATTCATTCTAATATAGAAAATCGTTTTTTTTCTTTGTACTTCACTGAGAAAGAACGATATTCTTATCTATTTTAATATAAGAAATAGTTTTCTCATATAAGTATAGATTGAAAATAATAGCTTTAGCTATTTCGCCTATCCTAGTAAGAAAAATGCTCCTTTTTTTAATAATTATCTCAATAAAGAATTTCGATCTAATAGAGAAAATTTTGATTTGTTTTTATGATATCAAGTTAAATAGTAATTATTCATCGCTGACCATCTCAGTCGAGAACATTACTTCTTTTTCATGTAGTTAGGGTAATCATAGTGATCTTCTTTTTCATCTATTTTAATAGCGAAAGTCAATATTCTCATATAATAAACCATGTAAACATCTTTTCAAACACTTGAAATTCTGTTAGATCGCATTTCTAACTTCTAAACTAAGGAAAACTTTTTTTTTATTGCAAACAAAAAAGTCTGAGCTACATGTTTTGTATCAAATATTTTGCGGCTTGAAAAGTCTGTATTCCTTGATTATTTCGAACCACTTAAATCCAAAATTGTACGAAGAATGTATCAAAATTTAGTGCTTGAAAACATCAGCTTTCATAAAATGTTTTAAACTTATTCTTGTCTTTCTAATTAGAAAAGTTGAAACCATAAAGTATTTGTGAAAGCGAGTCTTTTGCAAGAACATTAGCCAACATCATCGAAAATTATTCATAAATAGAATTCTTCTTGTATTATTTGTTCGAAACATGTTCGATCATAGAAATTTATTTAAAAAAAATTATTTTAAAATATATTTTTTATCAGTGCAAAATAATTAAGCCAGTAAGCACGATCGAATTATTTAACCATTTTCAGAAAAAAAAACTTATCTTTTGATAAAAAGTGAAGAATAAATTTAACTTTCAATGCTTCATTGAAAAGAGAGCGCATTATGCTACAAAAATCATCATTAAAATGATGTGAGAGAAACTAATAAAAAATACAAAATGATGTTACTAGATGGCGAATTTGCAAGATATTTTTGGGTGAATGTTGAATTTCCGGCATTTCTTCTTTCTCAGATTTCTTCTGAAAAAATATGTCTCGAACAATGTATATTTGAGACTTTACTCTTTCAAACAAAAAAAAAAAAGACTGATTGAAATAGAAATCGGCTGCACAATCTAATAGTTTAATATTCTTATAATGATTTCTGCATCGTATGTTAGACGAATAACAAATAGTATTTCTATATTTTTGATCGATCCTAAAACAAAAATTCTTAGTTCTCATATAGTTGAGTTTTACGTAAAACTTTACTACTGTATATTGACGAAATTTTAAAAATGATGCATAGCAAAACCTAGTAACCAATCTAATTCAAAGCTTATACATATTAAAATTCATCAAATAATCCAATTAGTAAAGATCGACAGATATCTATAGTAAGAGTACTATCAGAACTTATACCAATAAAGATCACACAAAGTTAATTCAGTCAAGAAAGATAAATATTATTACGACCATAAGGAGAAAACTAGCACTACAAGGAGAAGCAATAGGAACTTATTAGTTCCCTGGGTTTTCCATGCCTTTTTTTTTATCTGAGAGTAAAATTACTCGACCCAATAACATATTTTTTCAATACGACTCTATAGTTCATGTGAGAGAATTGAATTATAGTCTTATGACTTTGTATATATTGCTATTCTGAAGAATACACTTCCCGTCATATATATAGGACATGTAATTATTTAAGGAATACATAATCAACATTTTGAACTCTGTCTTCTGCTACAATAAGCGATCTCCGAAATTCACCGCTGGATCAAGAATAATAGTATAATCGTAAAACAGTCCCCATTTTTCTATAACTAAAGTATTTGGTAGTTAATGACTTTGATCAAAAAAATTTTTAAAAAACAATGGATAATCTTCTTTGTTGTTTGATATCAATAACAGTAGACTTACAATTCGACCTTCTTCATTTGTTTTTGTTTTCTTTTTAACAAAATTTATAAGACATGTCTGAAAACAAAACAAACTTACCTATTATTTCGTAATCAAAAAAAAGATCAACTAGTTACTAACATTAAATAGTTAAACAATGTCAAGATGACAGTACCTTCATCTTCATAACTGATAGTTACGTCTATAATTATTTAAATTTCAGACAACCTTTTACATGAATATCAAAGTAAGAACACAATAATCAGAAAAAAAAGGCAATGACAAAAATATTTGAGTTTATTCTAAATTGTTTCGAGTAAATCGTTTTTCTTTTAAATAAAAATCGTTACACTAATTTACAGCTCATAATACACTGTGAGATGATTTTATACTCAAGCTTTCAAATGTCAGATCTTTCAGGAAAACTAAATTCAAGCGATTACAATCTCCGCTACTATTGAGAGAGAGGAGGAAAAATAGATTCATTCAAAACGTTATTTCTTCTCTAAGGTAAATTGATCTTACGCCGCCTATGATTGTGTCAATATCATTAGTTTCTAAAAAATAATTATATTAGTCAATAAACAAAAACATTCATCACATGAAAGAGGCAACTCGTATATCTTATTATTAGGATTAACCGTTCAAAAAAAAACAACATTATCGATATTTTTGTTTTCGATTCTTCCGATCCAAAATACAACAATCACACATTTCTTTTTAATGATATTCTTTGATTTTTAATCAGATTTCTTTCATATTCACAACGCTTACTTCTACTATAAACAAACATGAAATTTTTCTTTTCTATCATCATATTACTAATCATTTGTCCATAGCAATACTAATTAGAACTTATCGATGATTGTTACACCTATCGAATAGAATAGAATTATATATCCGATGATAATTTGTTTAAGAAAAAAAAACAACAGAGCTTGTTCACGCTTATATGACAAAACCAATTGATACGTCACACACTTTATTCTTAGAATAACACTTATGTTAGTACTGTTGCAATCGACAAGACAAACAAATGATCTCAATATTGTTTTTCTGGATAAAATATAAAGCATTTGAATTTGACACATGAAATACATAAATAGGATATCGAAGTGCGAATTTAAATATAACATTAATTATTTGCGTGTGAATTAGTTACATAATCGCTCCATCAATTAACTATCACTGTATATTCAATTAGTTGTAGACGATCATCATTTAGAGTCTTATTGTCATGCATAGCTAATGAATTACTCACTAAAACAAATAATTCATGGAATTGACAACAACAAAAATGACTTGTTTCATTTTCTTTTTTCAAGAACACTATCTTCAAAGAAATATGAAATAATAACAACAAGCTGGTCTAGGAAACATCATTCATTTTCACAGTAATATGTATTCCTGTTGTGATAAAACAAATTTGATAGTCATGTGTTTCGGCGACACTTTCATATTCTTCTTTCTCTTTTCTGTATTGATCATTATAAGAAAATAGACAAAACAAGCATGATGCTGACAACTGATATGATAGATTTACTTTTAAATCGAGATAACACACAGTTCGAATTGACATTAACGTAATTTGAGGAGAAAAAAACCAAGATCAAAGGATTTTTCGCACTTGACGATTATTTTTAATTCTATTTGGTCTTTTTAAAAATATTTTAACAAGATCTTATTTTTTTGCAACTATGATCAGCTGATTGAATAAAAATGAAAAACAAGATGTAT